TCATTTTTTTTATAAGCCGATTATTTACGATATTTCCCGATGGTGGCAGCACCGGCGGAGAATGCACCAAGCCAATAAAATAAAATTATTGAAATCTTTTAAACATTATTTTATTGTTCTATTTATTATTATTATTATATTAATTCAGCTAATTTGTTCTCGTTTATATAACAAAAGACCAGTTTTACTTTACCAACATATTATTTTAATTTCGGCCAAGTTTACATTTCGAATTTACTTAATACCGATATACTCGTAATAAAGCGTACAATCAGTTAAATTATTTATTTTAATGTTTCAGTACGAAATCGCTTTGTAAACTCAGCAAAAATTTAAATAAATAATTTTAGCAATTTTACAGTACACCACCGTTGCTGTTTTGAATAAATTTTAATAATTTTCAAACAATAATTATAAATTCTATGTAAATAAGTAGGTACGTGAAAATTATACAGAAAAAAATGTTTATTTTGCTTGGCTGAGCATTGGTAGATTCTAATAGTCTAAGAGTATTGGTAGATTCTAATAGTCTACATAAAAAACCTTATCATGGTTAAATGTCTTCTTGTGGTCCATATGTTATTTTTTTATGTATTTTGTTTTGATGTATACGATGATTTTTTTTGTCAAAATTCCATGCCTCTTTCGCGTTGTCTGCCGGTGGTTTCTTAATAATAAATAAAATCTATCTGGCAATTATAACTCGTGTACCTTATAATATTTTTAGTGACAAAATTTCACCCTTTCGATTGGCCGCCCCCGCTTTAAGCCCCGGGATCGCGTTGGCAGACATGGCTATTTCACAATGGCTACACAAAAGGATACTTCACAAAAAAAATAGCCATGTAACGATGATAAGGTTTTTTTATGAGTCAGCTCTCCGTCTATAAAGGTTGAGAATGTCTAGAAATTAGTTTTTTTTATATATAAATACCTTGTAACTTCGATCACACTATTAATTCCTTCCATTAATAATATTTTTAAAACGACTAACAGTTTTTGAGGAAGAAGCAATGCACCGAATGACTGTAAAAAAAATCTAATCGCCTAAACTTTGAAGGAATGATGATAGGTTAATGTACAGGGTGGGTCAAATTCGACGCTTTTAAATGGAAACACCCTTTTCTATAGCAGATAGACAAAAACTAATATCGGTGTCTGGAGCTCAATTTTCATCAAAAACATGATGGTGAAAACCGCACATCAATATCTGTTACCCTTTAGGAGTTACAGGGTGTTTTTCAAAAATATGCATTTTTAACTAATCGGTGTAACTTTTTTGCTATGGAAAATTTTGTATTTCTATGAAAACATTTCCAAAGCACCTTTTTACGTTGAATTTATTGGTATAAGTACAATTTTTTTAAAATTAATAATTTAAGAGTTAACAGAAAAATTGATTTTTTATTTGGGACACCCTTTATATTTTTAATTAACCGAAAAGAATTTAAAATTACCTTTCCAAAAATATAGCACACTTGATATTTTGTTATATTCCCCGTCGAAATACAGAATTTTTAAAAGTTCGCCACTTTTAACTAGTATTTTATTTTAGTTATTGATGATATGCCCTTTAATGGAACTCGAAAACATATTTTTCCAGCAAGAAGAGTCACCGCCTCAGAACGCTGAAGTTATCAGCAAATTTTTGCAGCCAATTTCAAGAATAATTGAATAGCTAACCAAGATCCCAGCCGTTGGCCGTCGAGGCCACCTGACTTAGTGTCCATGGATCTAATCCTATGGATATTTGCGGAAGAATAAAGGTTCCTTATTCTTCCGTATAATCTAGACAAGAATTAGAAATATTTAGCAGTTATGAGAGGATATCTTTCACCCCTACTGAGTTAATGAATTCCGCGAGAAATGTTCAGAAACGGCCCTGTCTGTCCATAACAGAAGATGGTCGATATAACAGAAGACGGTCGAACACTTGCAGCAAAATCTCATGTCTTGGTTTGCTATTTATTTTTATTGTTATCAGATATAGTTTAAATGTGTTGATGTTGGTTAAATATATTTTAAATTGTTATAAAATTCTGCATCTCTCATAGCAAATATTATTTTCGTTTTAATTGATGCTCACAGCTAGAATTTTTTTGCAAAGCCTACTTATTTAAAGCGGGCGAATTTTTGTATACTCTATCTCTCGAAGAGGAATCGAGCAAAATATCAAGTGTGTTATATTTTTGGAAAGGTAATTTTAAATTATTTTCAATAAATTAAAGATATACAGGTTGTCTCATATAAAAAATCAAATTTTCTGTTGATAATTCTTAAATTATTAATTTTAAAAAATTATACTTAAACCATTAAATTCTACGTAAAAAGGTGCTTTGGAAATGTTTTCATAAAAATGCAAAATTTTCCATAGCAAAAAAGTTACAGCGATTCGTTAAAAATGCATATTTTTGAAAAACACCCCGTAGCTCCGAAACGGTAACAGATATCGATATGCGGTTTTCACCATCATGTTTTTGACAAAAATTGAGCTCCAGACACCGATATTAGTTTTCGTCTATCTCCTATAGAAAAGGGTGTTTCCATTTAAAAGCGTCGAATTTGACCCACCCTGTATATTTAATATAACGTATTTAACCTAAAAACCTAATCAGTAATTATCAATTCCCAGTTTGTCAAAGAATGACTAGAGAAGCCGAAAAAACTAAGGAAAGAAAATAAAGTTCTCCAACCAGCTCACCAAGGGTTAAAAGGTAAAGAAAAAGCTAATTTTGACACCGTTTTTTATCTAGCCAGAAAAGGAGCGAACATTCCAATAACTAGACCAGAACCGTTCTGCTTCCTAAGTGGAAAACAACCTGGAATGGGAATCTCTCAAGACTTAAACGACAGAGAACCATCAAATATTTTCTTTGATTTAAGTAAGAATAGTCTTCGGATTGTCATGGGGTCTTTAATAGGACATTGTCTCCTTAATGAACATCTCATTAGATTGAAGCTGAGAAACAACGGCCAATGCAGATTCGGCGGGGAAAATGGGAAAACATGAGAACACCTCATCACTGAGTGCACCGAGACCACAACCATTTTTACTATAAACATGAGTTATGTCTGATGAGTTATAACGCAAGAAAGGGGGTCATCATAGATCTATATGGTCGTGGTGATGAACTTTCCCTCTCACATACAATCTAAAATAATATCTGAAAATTTAATTGACACACTTTTAATTTATGATTGCATGGCATTTCTGTATTACTCTATCGATTAGATAGTTAAAAATTGATAATTTAAACAATTTTTTTCAGTTAATCCATTACATAAACCACTGTTACGCCATCAGTGCAGGTTACTTCATTCCTTACATCTACCTTTTTTCTTCATTTAAACGAATGTAATTATAACCTAAATTATGTAAAGCCACTTAAAATTTACGAACCTCTTAGAACTCTGCCATCCCCCACAATTTACATAAGTTGTTTCTTTTACTTCCTTCAGAGTGAAAGCAAAATGGCGACGGTGGGGAACAGGTCCACGCAAAATTGCTCGAAAATGTTTTGCTGGTTGAATTAATTAAGAGCTGTTTACGAAATAAAATTAACGGCTTTTTCTTCTGCTTAAAAGAGGGTTCATTTTTCTCGCAAGAACGATTTTGAAAACGTTTAAGACTGGTAAAATTTATTTTATTTAATTTAATTTTGGTTATACACGAATTTATTCTCTAACATTTGAATATTATGAAAGTATGGAATAAATTTAATATTTTAATAAATACATATTTTAAATTAATTTTCTTAGCTCTAAATAATGTACTGTATGATCGAAGAAAAGGCGTCAAAGACGGGGAATGGAAATCGATACAAAATTTGGCGACGTCAATCTCTAAATATCCTTGTTAAAATTAACACAATTATAAAAAGAAAAACTAAAATTAACACTAATTATAAAAAGATTAAAAAAGCATAGAACATTTCCAGACACACAAATCTATTTCCAAAAAACATATTTTTCTGGAATTTTAAACCACACCATTTAAAAATCATTTTTACTCAGTATACAAATAAATTAGAACCTTGTTAGGATCAACTGGAAATAAGCGAAATTAAGAAATAGAAAGAAGAGGGGCAAAGTAATGACGTCTACGGCTTGACCTCGTCAAAATTATCATAGATTGTCATTCTCCAGCCGTCTTCGACACCGTTTTTCTTTTCGATCGGATGGTACTTTGTAACAATACCTGTATGTTTATAAATTTAGTTTAAATAAACTTTTTAGGCGAGACAAATTTTTAGAGGTTCCATAATTCTGTGACAGTGACAGTTGTATCTGTAATTTTATTCAGCAGTAAATTGTATTCTCTGTCATTTTTTGAATGTCATCTGTCAAAATCTTCCTTGATTCGTTGAAAAGGCCATATATTATGGAAAGTGTATTAGACATCATATTTTTTTCTGATTTCCTAAATACACACACACAATTTAATTTTAATAGTTGTATTTAATTTTCATAAAAAATGTGTATAACTAGTCCCTAATAAACTTTGAATATACCGGGTGTCCCGTTTAAAAAAAATACAGAGTTTGTTCCAATATCTGTGACATTTGAGAGCAGATTACATTTTTGGTAATAAACAATAAAATTTAACTAAAAATCTTTTTGTTTATAATGAATATATATGATCGTGCATAATTTAGTTAGAAACATCCCGAAAAATAAAAAGATTAGATGTCTTTTCTATGACAGATAAACAACACTTATGGAAATTTATATTACCATTAGTTTCTAACTGCAATAAACAAATTTCACTTGAGCATAAAATCTTTTTGATCATATGATACATTATATAGTAATTTCATAGACTGTTCGAAACATAGTATATCCACTGATTAAGAATATACAGTATAAATCTTTTCAGGCTTAAACTAAGAATAGATGTAAATTGAACATCTACATCCAAAAAAAAAATGAAAGAAACACCATTTCCGGTCGGGCGTTGAATTTTTCGCAGTTAGAAAAAATAAAAGAAGAAATCTACTTACATTCATCGTGATCTTTGGCGGTGACAGTGAGGACAGTGTGCTGAATGTCCTCGTTTTCGTCGACTTCCGCTTCGTACAGGGCTTTGTCGAAATACGGAGGATTATCATTCTTGTCAGCGATGCCGATACGAATGAATTTGGTTACTGGAAAAGAGAGAAAAAAACGCATTTGTTAGATGGAGGAAGTCAGGAAAATAGGGAGAAAATTAGACAGCTTCCTGATGCTCTTTTTGGGATATAAAGCCCTATAGAATACGTGGTGACAAAATATTCTTTTGTTCCTGTCTATAGGTACCCTACTTTTGGGTCGTTTCAGTTTCATAAAATATATAAGCCTAAAAATGTCTATACCTATGTGGCGGATTTATCTATCCAAAAAAAACCCATGGGTATTTCGCCATTAGAAGAAAATCTACAAAATAAAATCGTTATTTTTTGTAAACACTGCTGCGTTAATCCAACGGAGACTAATTGTCAGCAGTGGCTTACTAATAAACAAATTTGCCTAACGGACAAAAATGCTTAACATTTCGGAATGTATCTCTTTCCGTCGTCGGAAGCAAAAAATACAAAGAACAAAGAAAAAACTATTTAAAATATCTATGACAGATGCGTCTACAAAAACCGTTGACATTCTGTTAAAATGATATTATATCAAGTTAAACTTCAAAATTAGCAATTACTTTATAAACTACTACTTTACTTTTACTACCTGATAACAATAATTACTTAATAAGGTAAAACCGAAAAGCTTTAAAACTTTCTGTATGATTATTTATAATTTGTTTTTAATTTTTACGTATGTTATGTTTATTTATGTTATGTTCTTTTGAAATCAAAGAAGCGAGTGCCATACATTACTAACATCTACAGATGATTGAGCAATAAATTTATTTTTATTAGATTGTATTAAAAAAGCTTCTTTTATTTTTCTTTTAGAGGCTATCGCTTCTTTCATTATAATTTTTGCATTGTTAAAATCTAATAAACAAGCCTGTTATACAGGGTGGGTCTTAAATAAGTGCAAATATTTTTAGTCGTAGTATATTTCGACCCCAGAAACAGGATTATGATATTTTTTCCGCGAATTTTTTTTTTTAAATTTTGAATTTTTTGATAAAATTTTTCTATTTTTCAGGTAGGGTTTTCAGAATAGGTGCTTCAAAAGAAACTAAATAAAATAAACTGACCTGGTTTTACATCAGATCTCATAACTTTTTGTAGTGAAAGAATTGCGCTGCGAGACTTTGTATTTTTTACATTCTATGTTATTGATGGGAAATATTATGCACTATTGCCTTTGAACAACAGCACGATGGAGATTTATAGACGTAATCCCATCCAAAATTGTTTAACGTCGCTTAACTTTGGTGGTCGATCAGAAGACGGTTTTTCGAAAAAGCTCGATCGTTACCGACACGCTTTTCTACCCGTTTTACTACTTTAAGAAACTAATAAAATATGTGTAATGCATTTTAGAGTTTGCATAAAATATTTTATTTGTTCCTTTTATATCTCGTTCTGTACTAAAATATTTTATTAAGTTAAGCGCGCATTTTAAATCTTTAACCTTTTAGTTCACTATAACTAAATAAATTAAAAGACAAATAAAATAAAAAATATATGCTATAACAAAATTTTTATTACTTGGGTGATAAACTGTAGGGCATGCGAACCTGTAAAAATAGACTAAATTTAGGCTAAAATACGACCCATCCGGCGATGAAATAACTTGGAAAATTACCTGAAAATACGAACAACCTGCTTTATAAATATCCATCAAGCTTATGAAGATATGTTCATTATGGATGTGTGTTGTCATGAGAATATCGTAAACAATCGGCATATACAAATACGCGGGTTTAAATAGCGAGTATACGAAAAAAGGTTAATATAATAATTATTCTAAAAGTGTTAAACAGCCTCTACACTATGCGGAGAATTCTTCGAAGCAGGTCAAGGTCGCATTTCGTTGCCCTACATTGGTTCCATTTATTTCCAGTTGTCTTGACCCACTTCGCTTTGCCTCGACCTACTTTCGATTTTTAAAAGCGGCTGAAAACAACTCGTGAGGAGGGCGTGGGGGGATTTTTTTTGCGTTTACTGTTGCCTCGTTCAATTTTGTTTCGTTTTAAGCTATTTCCAAAACGTGGCGGTATCTGTACCCGAGGCAAAGGACCTTTTTTCATAAATCTCAGTGAAATAAGTAAACCTAAACGTTTCTAAAATAGCTGTTATTACGATGATATTTCATTAATTACATCTCGTTTTATGTTGATATACCGGGTGCGTCTCAAAAGTGGCTCACCCCTATAACTTTTTTATTTTTTTTAGTTAAAAAAACAAAATTTGGTACGTTAGTATATGACATAAATTAGGATTGATTGATATTGTTTTTTTTTACCCCCGGTATTTTTTGACTTTATTCAATAGAAAATAACACTCTGAATAGAATGACATATCATAATATGTCAACTTTTGGCATTTTTGCATATGATTTATTTGAAATTATAACTTGCGGTTCGTAACGAAAATTTGACTTGAAATACCAAGTGTGTGGTATCAAATTATTCGTAAAAAAATTCTTTTTCTAAATATGCTAATGAGCCACCCTCGTTCTATTTGAAAAAATTGAAATATGATTAAAAATACGATTTGAGCATTTTTTAACCGGCTAGGACAAGACACTAAAAACATTAGACGATCAAATCTATTTTTCCAAGGCTTCTTGATTAAGAATTAGTGTTTTTAACATAGTCATGGCACTCTAGATTGAGATTTAAAATACTTTTTTTTATTAAGCAAGAATGTCAAAAGTTCACATGTGATACGTCATTCTATTCAGAATATCATTTTCTATCGAATAAAGTAAAAATATACCCGGGGTGCCATTTGAAAATCAAAAATAGTAGTCATTTCCGGTGAAACAGGAAGTGACCAAAAACAATTGAATACGTCAATTAATCCCAATTTATTTTATATACTAACATACCAAATCTCGTTTTTTATCTCAAAAAAAAAATAAAAAAAGTTATAGGGGTGAGCCACTTTTGAGACGCACCCGGTATTGTAATTAATACTCGTAGTGTTAGACAATGATTAAAACTAAATATTCTTGTGTAACCTTAGAGGAATAGCCAATTTAATCTACCATCGGTAACTGTTTTCTAAATGCACTGTTTTTGATTTTTCGTATCAGTTTAACATAGTGGTATTACATTACTTACTATTCCATTACAAATTAATGATATTAATTCATGCTCCATGTTTACTTATTTATTCCATTACAAATTAATGATATTAATTCATGCTCCATGTTTACTTATTTTTCTGAAGCCACCACAACGTTTGACCTTGATTGCTTCGTGCTATTTCACAAAATAGTACGATAAATATAAGCCCGTTTTATAAAAATTAGTTCCCACGTTCCCGAGTTAATCTGGGTTAACGTTAAAGGAGTAACTTTTGTTTATACTTTCTAAAGATTGATTGCACACTATCCGTTCCGTTTCCCTTCCGTTCCATATCCTTTCCTTCCATACATTTTTTGGCGGACGGACTGAAGCGTATCGGAAACAGCGTTGTCAAGTTCTTACATTTGTACCAGCTCTGTTAAAGCTTTATTATTTTAGGACTATTTATTCTTTCGCCTCTTAATTAAAAATAAAGATACAAATTTTTAAAATAAAACTTTCGTAATGATATAAATTGTACAATAAAAAGTATGGAACTGATACGGAACGGAGCTTACGTATAGCGTCAATACAATAAAAATACGGAACGAATATTGAATGGAAACGGAAGGTATAGTGAGAATCAACCTTTATACATAAACAATAATATGGCAGTATGACAGACCGAGCGTTAGTGGTTAACTGTCATTGATTTATCGATTTCAAAAATATGAATTTTCGCACCGTTGCAGCTGAAATCCCTGAAAATTAGGCGCGCACGCCGGAACGAAAAAATCTTAATTCGATTAATTCGGCCAAATGAATTTCGAATGAAACTAATTTGAGCGGTAATTGTCCGAGAGAACGTTCGCTAAATAAATCATCGGCATAAAACAACACAATTCGCGGCCGGACGCGATTGTCCACCGCCAACTAATGATAAGCGTCGCTCGTTGTACCGCCATACCTAAGTATTATGCGAATCGAATACAAACGCAATCGAGCAGAAGACCGACCAATCGGCGAGCGACCATATTCGGACCTCTCGTAATACCTAATTGCTCCGCAGTCGAACAAAAATCTAATTACGGCCCGTGCGTTTGTTTCTATCTTGCTCTTTGTTTAGAGGCGTTATTATTGTCAGTAATGTCGGCTTTCATCAATAATCAATTCAAAATTTTAAATTTCGAAATCATAGAGCAATATGTTAGGCCTATGGATAGTCTGTTTATGACTTACTGTTTATCAATTTATTTGAAGGTAATTTGTAATATGAGTCAAAAAAGCATTACAGTATCACGTTAAAAAAAATTATTGTCAATCGCAAACCATCTTAAGTATACAAGGTGCTACAAATTCGAGGTACGAGCATTGGTATCTCGGCAACCGTAGACAACAGTTGCACTTTGGCATGTTCACCAAGATGCCATCCAAAAATTTTTAAAAATTTCAAGGATGGGTGAGTTTTTTGAAAATCAATTTTATTTTTTCCTGTCGTTACTTTTTACAAAATCCGAAAACTAAGTGCACATTCTCATATCCACTTTACGAAGACTACCTGATAATGTTTTTAGATTTACAAATTATCTGGTAATTTTTGAGATATAGAGGCCAACTTAATTTTTTTATTTGAGGTTTTGAAAGAACTCGGTCTTCTGAGTACAATGATATGCCACATTTTACTTTTTTTTGTTTTGAGTACCTTAATAACAACAAAACTATTTAATTATTATTTAAAATAATTTCAAGTTCGACTCTGGTTTTTTAAATTATTTAATTTAATTACCCAAGTAGTATTTTCACGACTTGCGATCACATGTTTACTAAACACAACGTTGGATTAGTTACAAAAAATAGTTAGCTCCGTACCTTGGGTATTAAAATAAATGTAAACGTTGTTGTAACGTTGTGCCGACGTTGAACTAGTACTACAACAAAGTAAAAGCTTCTGCGACGTCGAATAAACGTTGT